TTAGAGCTGGGCTAGCCGCTGCTGCAACAAAAGCAAAACTGTTTGCTGATCACGAAGAACGCGAAATCCAAAGGCTCTCTGCAAATATCATCAATCACCAGGTATCTTATCTTGAATAATTTCCAGTCATATAGAGATGATTCCTCAAGCTGAAAGTGGAAAATCCTTAGTCATGCTTGTTGGGTGATCATCTTACATGAAGGTGGGCATTTCTGTGGATTAAACAGAAACCCATTACGCAGATTGATCCTTTCCTGTTCCTGAATACACGTGCTGGTCTTTTTTTTTTTGCGGGCTTTCCTGTGTTATTGGATTGAATTCTGGTCGAGACAGTTCTTGTTGATTTGACATGTCTGAGCTGTGTAGATCCTCTCATCTTACCTTATGGATTCTGCAGCTGAGGAGGATGGAGCTGAAGCTAAAACAGTTTGCGGAGATCGAGACATTGTTGATGAAAGAATGCGAACAAGTGGAGAAAACCCGTCAGAGATTCGCTGCAGAACGAGCCCGTATGCTCTCCACAAGATTCGGATCTAACAACAACAACAACACACCTCGACAGCAGCAGCAACAACTGACAACTTCTTCCTCTTTGCTGCCGAGCTTTCATCAACAGATTCATCCCCAGATGCAATTCATGGCCCGTCAACAACAACCGGCTTTCTCATTTGGCCCGAGATTTCCTCTCAACTCCTTACAGAACAGCTCGGCTTCTCCTAACCAGCCCTCGTTTACTCATCCGATGGTTAGAACTTCCACGGGCTCTAGCTCTGGCTTAAACTCATAGACAATATCCTTTTTGTTTTGCCCTTTCTGGGTCAAAGCCTTTTGAGACCGTAGGCCATATGTAGAAACATTAGTCAAGTGTTTTGTATTTACTCATTTGATCCATCACGAAATCCCTTCTTGTGAATTCTAGTGACCCCTTTTTTCTATTACTCTTTATCCAAAGCTTATAATATTAATTCATATCCATATTGCCATGAGCGTGTTGATTTTGAATTCATTTTTAAATAATTTGTTCAACTCAACACAAAATATTCGGATATATTAAAATATTTATTCATCGATTTACAAAAATAGGTAATTAAAAAAATCGTAATTTAATCTAACACATAAATAAAAATGACAAACTAAAAAACCATTAACTATCTAATTTACTAAAAAAAATTACTTAAAATTTATTATAAAAATCCACCAACAAAAAAACAATAATTGTCTAAGTTACTAAAAAAACTTTTTATTTTAATTTATTATAGAAATCCATAAAGTTTTATTTTTAAACAAAAAACAAAATATTTTTTATTTTATTTTGAAAAGTATTCCTTGTCTCTTATATAATTAATTTATATACAAATTATACAATATATAATATTTTATTGGCTAATTTTTATTATAAAAATCAACTATGAAACGTATCAAATGTTGATATATAAAAAAATATTATCAAATTTTTCTATACAATTATGAATTCGATGAATAAAATATTATTTGTATGCAAATAGGCTATATAAAATATGACGAATATAAATTATATAGAGTCATAAATATCATAATAAACACTTAAATATTTATACAAATTCTTAAGACTTAATAATTATATATTTGATAATTTTTTATAATAAATTTAAAGTAATTTTTTTAGTCAATGATATATTTGACAGTTTTTTTGTTTATCCCTAAATACATAAAAAAAAAATAAAGTACACATACATAAAATTATAATTTATCAATTTAAATACAAACAATTGGATAAGAAATTTAACTTGCACCTTCCTTCTTTTACTTTTAAAGCAAAAATCACGGCCATCCCGAATCAATGTTCACACCTTTCTTACATATACCTTTGTCCACGTAAATTCATTAACAATCTAAGGAACATTAAAGTTTTAAAAGTTTATAATTAAATGTAATTAGTTACTAATTTTTGGGTTTTTTATGTTAACTTTGTAAAGTATGCATTTAAACCTAAAGTACACAAAGTTACAAAGTCTTGTTTTTTTTTTTTTGTATTTAAACATTGAAGGTATTTTTTTATATTACTCGTTGTTCGAATTAATTTCGCAAAATAAAAGAAAACACTGAATATTGATAACTCAAATCCAACATAACGGATACTTGGCCGCAAATTTATTACAGGATGGAACCATTAATGAATTAAAGCATGATCACAAACTCAGACAAAACACAATCTTTTAGTGAAAAGGATGACTCCCGGTGCCCGGGTTTATCCCACCGGGTGGACCACCGGTAGCCGGTGGCTTTGGAACTGGCTTTGGCTCCTCCTCTATCAGCGAACGACCAAGGCCGGTTGGTTTTCCATCGTTCAGATCCAACGGCTCATATTGAATGATCGAACGAGCAGCTGTTTCTGAACTCAGACATCCAAGACAGATGGCAAATGCAAGAACTAGGGTTCCGACCAAACACACCTTGTTCATAGTTGCCCTAATTATATAAATATTAATTTTAATAAGACGAATAGAATAGAGGAACTATAAAATATAAAGTTTTTTGTTCGTAACTATTCGAGTTTGGGATGGTTTTGTGGGTCATGCACATATGTGTATATATATATATATATATGTATGTGCATGGTTACATGCATGTGAGGCCTATTTAATCAAACTGATTTTTGTTTAATTATGAGGTATTTTCCGATTATGATAAGGTAAATCCTCTATCTATCTGTTTTACAAAAATAGTTTTAAAAATATTTTGGTAATTAATGTTTGTTATCATTCTCTTGTTTTTTATATTATTATCATTATCTTGTATTAATTTTTAAGATATCAGTTTCCAGTTATCACATGATCCTTTCCTGTTTAAAAAATATATCTTTTGTTAATTACATAATCATCATCTATCTTATTTTCACTAGATTTATTTTTTAATTCTAAAATTATTCTATCATCAATATTGGTGGATCATTTTTCCTTCTAAAATCCTGGTGAATTGCTTATACTTATACATATCCCCATCTTAATTAGGATAACTATCATCTCTATTCATTCCATTTTCATAGTAACAATTTTGATAATGACAAAGATAGATCCGTATATTAATAGAAATAAAAGAAGTTTTCATGGAAGATATAGTTTTCTTAATACTATAGGTAGAAAAACAAATACAGTAACTAATTACCAGGATCCAAACTATTTTATATGTATATATACTAGACACGAGCAGATATCTATTTATGTGTATAAATATGTTTATATATATATTTATATATATTTATATTTATATTGGTGAATTGCCCAAGTTCGAACTCGTGTGGTTTTTAATTACCCCACTTTGCCACTTATTCTATCCACCTTGGACTATATATATTTATATATATATATATTGTAACACGATAATATTTTTTTAATTGTCACAAAATATGGTTGAACCGAAAGAATAAACTACGATTAGATTTTCA